TGTTTCTAACCATGCGTTTTCGTCGTTTAGTTTCAGTGTTAGTGATCGTCAGATACACTCCGGAAGAAGAGTGGCTGGAGAGATGTTTCTGGCCAATGGACATTTGGTTCCCGGAAGTATTCGGTGCAGTAATAGGCGTCATACTTGGGATACTGTGTAGGGACCTTCTTCGCAAAATATCAAAATCCACAACAGCTTCTTACAAAGCGACGAACTTTCAGCACTACCAAAGACACTACATTCCATGGAAAGGAGCGCCCGTCATTTCCAGAAGGAAATCCATGCCGATTATCTTAGTTCCTACCCTTTTGTCGTTCCCGCTGTTCATCGTTAGTGTCGTTAGTTTCTGTTACGGCGTCCGAATGCTCACCAGCGTGGACCTAACCGGAGAGAACACCGACTTCTCCTCCAAAGATCATTCATCCTTTATTGTTTGCTTGTGCATACATTTCTTTATTCTGTTAGCCAAAATTGCCGTTCTCGTTTTACAGATCGTTATACCTGGTGTTATTGCGACCATAGCGAATCATCGCTTTGGTGTCATGTCTAACTATTTTTATCCTTTCGCCGTGTTCCTCAACGGAGCAGAATTTTCTAAACCTCTGCTAATCGAGCGTTAGCATAGACTCTTGTACAGATTTTGTAAATACGTGCTTGTGATGATTTTGAATCTTTTCCGCTTCCTGCAGTGCAACCCGAAAAAATCATTACCCTTTTCCTCAAGCAAAAGCCATTGCTGAGTTTCGGAGGAAATCACCATCAGAACAAAAGACAAGTAAAATATCAAACAGTTGGTAAGCATATTCTCACCAGTAGGAAACACACTTACGAAAACTTCAGCGAAGGACAGTTCTTCACGAAAAGACACAGGATATTACAAGGCTGAGTTCGAAAGGAGTTACAGTATACGGCGCACGACCTTCGGCGGTTAGTCATGGGCTCCGCATCGTTGATATGCTGCCGTGAGTTAGACCAGAGGAGGAGGCTGTCGCGCAGACATCCCCAATCGAGTCAGAAGCTTCTACAGGAACATTCTCTTTCTCCGTCCTTCCCAGTGAAGGAAGGACCGAGTGCGAACTATGCTTCGGCGAACTGGGTTGCGGTCTTCCGTACTTTCTTATTAGCGCTTTGGCTACTTCGTGCAGCTTTGTCATGAACTCCGGAAGGTTCGTCCGTGCGGCGTACTGCACGGCTACTTTAGGAAGGATAGACTGGGCGTCGTCAACATACGACATCACATAGTCAAACCCATCCTAAAATCGAAACCAAATTAAAAGACCATTCCATTCTTGAAAGTCTAAATCATGAAGAGTCAAACCTGCCTCCTCAAAAGTCCGGTGAGGTGTTATCATCAGTGCAGAGTAGTACGACTTCACGCGGACGTAGCTGTTGTTAACTGGGTACTTCGGATGGTCGCAGGTCTTCGAAATTATGATCATCGCATTACGGTCTTCGTAAATCCTGCTACGTCTTTGGTAGATGTATTCACGCGGAAGGAAAGGAAACTGGAAAGAAAGCTATCAATATAACAACCATAAAACCAAACAGAGAGGCTCATATGCAAGCATAATGGTTTACCGGATATTGTGAAACCCACTGCAAGGTCTCCGCGCCAGTTTCGTTGTCGCGTTCAATAAGGTCGAGTTTGACGACTAGCTTATCCCACTGCTTTCGATGAACGATGTCCATCTGAGTTTGGTAGAAGGTCTCGGCCGGAATATCCGAAAAAGTGCCCACTGCCCGGTACTCAGGTAAGGCGTTCGTAGCAGTCGGCGCTTTCTGCCATACATCACAGTGCGAAGTCTTGGTGACGCTTTCCCAATCACAAAGACAGTCGGCTTCTTTCACTTCGCTGGACCATTTGCTCAAATCATCGTAACAGCTGAAAAAGACCGAAACACATATTTACAGAGAATATTCGCCCGCATCGGACAACAGCGTAAGCAAAATCTGTATACCTTTCAATTTCCTCGTCTGAAATTACGACGTTGAAAAGGTAATCCTGCTTGTCCATCGCAAAGACGACAGAGCTGACTAAAGCGGTCAGTTTCAACGGTGCATGTGTCCGAAAGGATGTCGATAGCTTCAACAGAAGATTGCCTACGATCCGTCGACTGTACATGGTCCCATACATTAGGGACAGCTGTTGTGCCCGTCGCACACGTTGAGCAGCATACACTTCGCACTGTCGCGTAAAGAGCCCCAGTAGCTTCATCATTTCGCCGTAAACAAGAGCCTGAAATCGCTTGCGATACGGACCGGAAATCTGGCCTGGTTCGCTGCCGGGTTTAGGTAGTCTCTTCCGGAGATCCATGTAACCTGGACGCCATGGCAGCCACGAGCTTCTCTTGTGCTTCAGACCTAACGGATAGGGCCAGGGAGTATGCTGCCATCTCTTCCAACGGGTGGTTTCAACAACAGGTGTAGAATGGAAAGATCTGCCGATAGGTGTCGATGTCGGAGGACATGTGGCTAACCGGACCAGGGATTTACCTAAGAAGTTCATAGCAACGGGAGTACTTGTCCGAGCGGTCGAAAAACAAACAGTGAATGATGTTGCCCGTCTCCCGTCAAGCAGCTCCGGTAGTTCCAGACATGGTGAACCACAAGAAGAACGTTGAAAATTATGTTGGAAGAAAACAGGCGGAAGTGAAAGATTTCGTAACTTTAGTACGTAGGTGTTTCCATAGAGCTTGCCAGAAGGAAATCAAGAGCTCCGCCCTACCGGCTCGCCAAACTACGCTTATAATGTTGCGAACCGAGCAATCAAGTAATCAAGGCGGCAAGCGCCCTGACGTCAGCACATCTAGCCAATCAGCCAGACGTTGGTGCCTCTACGATGCGCACAGCATCGCTTCAGCGCACAGCTCTTGCCACTTTTCATTCCATGTAAACGCTTTGTCATCAATCATCATCTCCAATCATCATCTCTCCGTTCATCGAAGGTCCATGAAGTGAGATCCGCTACAAGAATTTCTGGTGCGACAAAGTTATTGGACTGGAGCAGGGAGCTAGTTTAGACAACTGACGCGGCGGTGTAATAGTTCGAGTGATTTGGAACGAAAAGTCGACAACCACAGCAATCATGCCTGGCGAAATATTGGAGGAAGATCGGATGGAGAAGAATCCCGACTTTCAGATGGCCCAGTGGAAGTTTTTGCTTCAAACAGAGGATTTCAAAAATGACAAAGCGACAATAACGTCCCTCTTGGAAGCTATCAAAAGCAATGGTAAAAGCACATTCCTATTCGAAATCTCGTGGTTAACTCCGTACTTGTACAGATATGGCTCCGTATTACGATCGAATCTGCACCGAACTCGGCTGGAAGAAGGACGATACCTTGGCTAAGCAGATGAAGGTCAACAACGAGAAGAAGCTAAAAGAAATTGAGGATAAGATTGCTGATGCGGAACAGAATCTGGGATCGATCGAAGTTCGAGAGGCTTATTTCGACAAGTTCAATTACCTCTGTAGAACTGGTGACAAGGTACGGTCACGTTTCTGGTTGACGATTTATCATCCAGAGAATCGTTTGCGTCGTAAGGCTACTTCACCTAACTTGAAGGTTATCTGTTTGTGTAGGAAGGCTCCGAGACTGCGTTCCGTGTCTGTTACGAGAAGACCGTCGGAAACGGTAATCGCCTGGACCTGATCTTCCAGATGATTCGAATTGGACTGTTCTTCAGTGATCTTGACTTAACAACTCGAAACCTTGAGAAAGCTCGCAGGTAGGCACTGCCGCGCTGGTATCCTTATATACAGAGTACAACTTCCAGTCAAGCATGTTACTTTACGTTCGCTTTCATATTCTAGTCTGGTTGAGGAAGGTGGAGACTGGGACCGTCGTAACCGCCTGAAGGTCTACGAAGGAATTTACTACATGAGCATCCGCGAGTTCACCAAAGCTACTACCAACCTTCTGGACACAGTCAGCACTTTTACATGCTACGAGATCCTGGACTATGAAACCTTCATCACGTACGTCGTCCTTTGCGGAATGCTCACGCTGGAGCGCACGAAGCTCAGAGCCAAGGTTAGATCCGTTCCCACAGTTCGCTACTTCCAGTACGCGACAGGCATAGCTTCAAGGTGATTACTTCTGGATTAGGTGGTTCGTTCGGCCGAGATCCTTGAGGAAATGCATGCCATGCCTAGTCTGAAGACCTTCTTGATGGCACTGTACGAGTCGCGGTTCGCTGAGTTCTTCGGAGCATTGGGTAAGCTAATCGTCACTTGACAAGGAAGGAACGGCCTTCGATACGTAGTTATCTCTTTCAGCTGAAGTGGAGCAGAAACTAAAGTTCGATCGCTACTGGAACCCACACTACAATTACTATATCCGCGAGATGCGCATCCTGGCTTACAACCAGCTACTAGAGTCGTACCAGTCCTTGACGTTGGACTACATGGCCAGCGCTTTCGGAGTGACGCCTCAGTTTATGGATCGAGAACTTTCGCGTTACATTGCAGCTGGACGACTGTACTGCAAGATCGACAAGGTAAACGGCATTGTGGAGACCACGCGCCCCGACAACAAGAACAGACAATATCAGCTCTTCATCAAGCAGGGTGACCAGGTCTTAAATAAGGTCCAGCGACTGTCTCGTGTAATCAATGTTTAGTTTGGTCTATTGGTACGTATTTCTTTTCTGAATCATTTTCTGACTACAGACGTTGTATGCCTTCTTCCGTATAACTTATTCATACGAGCTTGTTCCGGCATTGCTGCGTGGCCCATAAAGATTTCTCTTCGAACTAAATTATTGTGTGAAGTGAGTTCAAATGACCTTCTTGCCTTTCCGGTTTTAGAGATTTCGCGTAGACAGACTTGTCGATGGGGGACTTTGCATTTTCCTCCCATATGTTGGGCTCGGAATTTCGCACAGAAAAATTCCCTCATTTTATTGCGCTAAGAAAGCAAGTTTCCATAAGAATCCGAGCAGCAAAATTACCAGATTAGATAATCGGCCCAGTGGTTTCAAAGTGTATAAACGTAAAAAGGAGACAACCGGGTTTGAACCGGTGACCTCTCGATCTGCAGTCGAATGCTCTACCACTGAGCTATGTCTCCACATGTGTACAACAGTCGTGATAGTTTTGTGCTTCTAGATTAAATGACAGCTCCTAATCCGCATACGTGGCCATTCAAGTCCAAAGTCACCATGCGCAGGTCAAAGCCGAACCATAGATCCGGCTGCTCACGCTGGTCGTCGGAAGCTCCGAAATGCTACTCCGCATCGAACCTACCTTTCGCTCTTGCGGAGCTGTGGCTGTTCACGGAGGACAGACGAGCATTACCGTATGGTTCTGTGCGTCGTCGCATCCAGCAGTTCATCAAATCTTGCGATGCGGAGAGCACGTCGAAGTGTTCTTGCTGCGAACTCGGATTACTTATCAGGGACAGAGTCTGTGGACTGACATCTGGGCCGTACCGTATGTCATCGGGCCCGACTGCAACCCGACCGGTAAGAACCTAGAATACACCACCAGCAGCCCTGCTCAAAAACAACTTTTACTGTTTTCTTTCCAACACAAGTAAACCCCAGAGGAAACTATACGAACGGATAGTGGGTCGGAACTTGGATTAAGGGTAATAGAAGTAAAAAAGGTAGGGCGTAAAGGCATCCTATGAGACGCAAAAATAAAGGGGCCTATGTGAGAAAAACCATCAAAAACCCAGCATTCGCAATGCGGATCGAAAGGGCCAGTAGAAAAGAACCGCCTGAGAGCTAAGAGTATGGGAAAGACTCAGAATCGCTTACATGCGGACAGAAGGAAGTAATTACAGGAAGACACAGCAGAGAAAGAAAAAGGGGAAAAGCGGAATGGCAAGTATATCACTCTCGGTAATTTCTTCATCGCGCACCTGCAAACCAGCCCGACATCAACGATCCATTCAAAAATTTGGGTATCATCGAAGCGGAATTCGAAGACAAGAATTCACGCGCTTATAACAAAGGTTCTACCTGGATTGGCAGGATAAAACATGAGCTGAGGAGGCATTGCGAAAAAGTTTTGTGGGTTTCCGTAGACCTGTTGTGGTGCCATTTGCACTGTAACCAAATAACTCACGTTCAGATCCGTAATCGTCGAAAAAGGTAATGAAGCATTCAGTGAAAAGAGTTTTACCCATGTGCTGATGTGGTTGTTGAACATAGTTGAGAGGTTGGAACTGGAAGGCATCGGGATAAAAGTTATCATCCATCATTGGCTCTCGTTGGTTCTGTTGTCGTCCTCGATGCAGCTCATTCCAGTGGTCATTTCGATCCGCAGGCTGTTGTGGAACTGCCGCACGCGGGACTTCTGGACGCGGTGGAACCCCAAAAGCAGCTTCCAACTCTGCTTCAGCCTCTCCACGTGGAACAGCTCGTCGTCGTGCAGCTCTTGGTGCCGGGGCTGGTGCAGCGCCTCCCGCGGGTCTCGGAGCTCGACGTGCTGGTGCACGGACTCGTGGAGCCGCCATCGCAGGGGCAGGTGCTCGACGGGCCGGCCGAGCAACACGAGCCCGTTCTCGAAGCTCAGCCAGCAAAGCTGCTTCTGCTTCTCTGTCATGAGCATGGAGCATTTCAGCGCGTCGGACTTGAGCCGCATTTCCTAGAAATCAAATTGCCCACTTGACACGTCTATTCAGAAAGCCTGGCTTTCGGTGGACACATTTATGATTATTCTTGATTTGGGAGCTCGGCAAACAAACTCGACCAGACCGTTTTCTCAAATAGCGCACGTCTTTACTCTAACTGGCAGAAAGCACGCGCCACTTGGAAAAACACATCTGGCTGAGGTTGTTCCGAAATCGTCACTGTTCAAATCTATTCCAAATCTTACCCATCAACAGCTGGACGTTTACAGCGCGAACGCCTGCCGCGCCGGCAATGTTGAGACCCATGCGGTTGAAGTTCACGTTGAGCTGTGGGTAAGGGTTGACCATCTGCCCGTTCGCCCCAACGCGAGTATGGAGCATGCCGTTGCAGCCACCGGCTTCCGAAAAGTGAGCGTACGGATTCTTGTCATCCAGTTTCTTTCCACAAAGCCAACAGAAGTAAGTTTTGCATCCTTTCGATGTGCAGACCATCTTGTTGCACCCATCGATTTTCTATAAGAAGAAATGAGTGAATCCGACTGAATCCACCACTGCCACCACTTGAACAATATAAACTTTCAACTCAGAATTGAACTATCGTTCCGTAAACCGGAAGAACAAAATGAACAACGCTCGTTTGCTAACCTGAATGGGCGTGTTGCACTTCGGACACGGTTTGGCGTTCTTAGTAATCCATTCCTCCGACTCGGCATCCTCCAAGGCGAATCGAACGTTGTCTTCACCCACTCGCTTCTTCAACGCTTCACGCCCAGCATTGTCGGACGCCTTCCATTCTTCTCGAATCTGCTTTTTCTGGTCTACAGACAACAAAAACCACACATCAACAATGCAACCCGGCAAAGGAAACTTGCAACCAAAGGCCTTTGTACTGCAGTGCTCACCATCAGTCAAACACGGAACACCCGGATGAGGAGCGTTTTTACACGTGGCACAGAACTGGTGATAGCAAGTCAGGCACTGAACTTCACGTGGAGCATTCTGAGCAAGTTCCATGGGAATGTTACACTCTTTCCTCGGACAGCGTATCACTTCCTTACTATTAACAAAAATGAAACATGCCATCAAGTTCAACGAGAGCTTTTCCTAGTTTGCCACTTGGCGAACCTAGAAACCATCAGGTTCTCAACCTTGGAAAATACGAGTACCTTTGGTCCAAGAACTGATCCGTAGTGAGATCACAGTAGCGCTGGAACGTGATGCTATCCACCCACAGTTTGAGCTGTAGAGAAAGCCGGACGTTAAGTTAGAAAAATGTGAACAACGCAAGAAGAAGTAAAACCGATAGGGAAGTTACTTACCATGTCCATGTCAACGAGAACGCTGCATCCATGTTGCAGGCACTTGAGATCCTTAAGTTGTCCCTCCTTGATCTTGATCGACAAGTCTTGTGACACACACCCTCGACAGAAGTAGTGCTTGCACTGCGGGAACATCACTGCAGCCATTGAGGCTTTGTGATCGTAACAGATGGGACAGTCAAAGGCGCTAGCGGAAGCCAAGTCCGTTCCTTCGAACAGCGTCATCTTGTCCAAGATAGTTTGAAACATGAACTTGGCGTTCATCGGATCGTGGAAGGTGATGTAGTGAGGCTTTCGGTCTTCTGCATCGGGCGTCCCGTAGAAGATTCGTCGATGCTTGAGGATCTGTAAGAACTTCACGCTCTTTTGACGAAGCCATCTGATGGGAGGAAGAAGAGATCCGTAATGCTTCCTGTAACGTCGCTCGAGTTCAATCTTCAACCGCTTCGTCTAAAAGATCAGAAAACAACAGGAAAAAATCAGATGGGATCGGGACAAACAAACTCGAAAATTGTGTTTTTCCAGGTGGCGCAAACTATCGGCCAACAGCACCAAGAACGTGCGCCAACCTAGAAGCGATCTTATCGAGCTTGTTCCATGAGTTTCCAGATAGAAAAAGTAAGGTGGATATACTTACATGGTCTTTCAGAAGCCACGAGGAGACCACCGAAAACTTTGCATCGTTGTCTTGCAGCGAAAGATCGATGCGGACACGGAGAGGAGGAAACACCCGGAAGTTAGGAAATTTTTCTTGGTTACTACCAACGACAGTGATCACAGTGAAGGAATCGGTCGGATCATCTCGGCTGAGCAAGGGCAAAATACTAATAGCCACGCTGGAGACCACATCCTGGTCGAACATCTTGGACGTGATCGCCTTGACTCCCCATCCGGCATCGTCTTCTCCATACTCTACCCTCAAGGCTTCCACTTCCGCCCGTCGCTTCTCGATCACCTCACTGGAAAGAACTGCCAGAATCTCTCCGCTTGGGTCTACGGCAGCAGACGTCGACGGTCCTTTTAACTCCAGCACGATGTCGTCTTCTAGGGACCTGAGGGCTTTACGGTCGTTCTCAACCGTGTTCGCTGTGACTGCACGAACGAAAGCAACTAACATAAATAACGGGAATATGTAACTGTTAAACTGGAGGGAATAACTCTACCATACCTGATCGACTCCGCTTCCCACTGATCTGTTCCACAACCATGATGCCATCATTGGAATCTTCAAAATCCGAATCCAGGATGATGGTGTCGGACATCGAAGCCATCCTTCCTTCTGACAAAGAAAATAATTGATGGTTTTATTCCTCGGTGCATTTAAACCCAAGAAGTCAACGCCGATCTTTCAAAGAGCGATCCGTTCATTAGACTTACTCTTTCCCTTGACGCTTATCCCGGAGTTTCTGACGTAGGTTCACTTCCGGATATGATCAGAATTTAAGGACGGTTCCCAGCAGGACTGATGACCATAGAAACAGTTATCTACTTTGCACGGATAAACTTTAGACTAGCTTCATGGATTTCCTTCGTTCTTCGACTGACTCTTCCGGGCTTCCCGTCAGTTCAGACAAACAGGATGTAAACACGTTGCAACGAAGATGGACAGGCTCGGAAAGATCTGGTTACGACATGAGCGACGCTTCAGACGAAAGAGGGCAGAATCACGTGGAGAGAGACAAAGCACGGACAAAGATGACCAGTTTTGAATTCCGATGGAGTGCGTAAGTGCATATGGGCTAGTCTTGTTTCCCGCTGTGGCGCTCAGCCGGGCGCTGTCTGAAAAAGAAACGAAGTTGGCCCGTGGCCGCTTGCCACTGCTCACAGCTGCCAGCCTGCAACCCGATGCTGTCTGGCCTGTTCTGAGATGTTCTCTGTATTATAAGCGATTTTGGACATTTGAGCCCGGCTCAGCCCCGCCTCCTGTTTTCCAAGTCGGTGAGAGTGGATTTTCCGAAGGGCGCACTATTATCACTTGGACCTTTCGAACTTTTCAGTTGTGATGTTAGAACATTGTCACTTCCGGCTCATGCTGTTCAATAATCCACAATTGATTTTCTCCATCTGCTTTAGAGTCTGGCGTATTTGTCTTTAAATCGCCGGAGCTGCAGTGCAGTGTGACGTTAGACCGACATGGACAGGCCGAGGACGAGGAAGCGAACTAATAAGGAG